GGGTGTCTGCATCGCAGGGTGTTGAAGGGCATTGCGGGGTCGCGTTGCAACGCGTCGCAGCGTAGCGTGGCGTGCGCGAGGGGGTGTCGCACCCTACGTCACAAGGTCGCGCGGGTGTTTTTGGCGAAACGCAGTGGATATAGTAGCGACTATGGTTGTTAATGGAAATTGCAAGAGCTCCCTTTCTAAATCGCAAGCGACACGGGGGGCGGCACCGCCGCCGATCCCCGCCCACACCCCAGGGAGCACGGCCGCCCCGCGAGGGCGGGGAGGGCCGCACCCTAAACATTTTATGTTTCACCGCGTTTCACCATGGCAACATCTGGGTTGCTGCGTTCCCGCCTTTGAAGGGGTTTTCGTTCTCGAGGTTGAGGACGTGGCGGCGTTGCGTACGAGAGTGCGGCCGTTTCGGCGCCCGATATGTTTCATTCTATGCGCTTCAAACAACGAAAAAGCGAGAAGGCCATCGGAAAGCGAAAAGGCGAGAAGCCAACAATCACAAGTTTCTTTTCTAGGTTTTGGAATGATTTTGGCATCTTGGAGGCCTCCTTGGGGGGCTATCTGGCATCATGGAGCCGTCTTGGGGCGGTCTTGGGGCCTCTTGGAGCATCTTCGGGGCCATCTTGAGGCATCTTAAGCTATCTTGAGCCATCTTGGAGCTCGTCTTGGGCTCTCCGAGGCGCTCTTGGAGCCGTCTTGGGCCACGTTGAGCGCCCCAGCGCGTGCCCCCCCCCCCCGCCCCCCCCCCTTCCCCCCTCCCCCCCCTCCACACACACGCACACGCGCATCTCCCAGTGGGAACCCTTGTCTTCTTTTGATGTGCACCTATCTTGCGGCATTTGCAGTTGCGCATGGTTGTCGCATTCGACAGGGCTGCTCGTTCTTACTTCAATAGTGTCGCATTGGGCGCGCCTTGTGCGCGGCTTCCGCCAAACTGAACTTTATGCGACGCATGCACTGAACTTCGGTGAACGTCGGCGTTGCTCGTGTTCTTGCGTCGCGGCCTCCGACAGCCAACTCGGAATCGTGAAATCATCTCGTTTGGGCGCGCAATTCGCGCACGCGCCCCCATCCCCCAAAACCAAAAAAATCTAAGCAAAATGAGCTTTCCCATTCAATTATGAGCATTTTCAATTATGTAGTAGACCCTCTACTCGATTCATCGCCTCCTTGTACGATCCAGACCTCCTCTGGCGACAGCGCCCTGATGCGCCCGCCGCTGTGTCCTGGGACGTGGATCAGAGTTCCTCCGGGTCCGCCTGGGCCCTCGGCGGGCCAGCAAACCGTGCCGATCGGGCCGTCGATTGAGCAGACCAGATGCTTCGTGCCAGCGAGCTTGATGTGGCCGATGCCCTTGGGCAGTGTAGGGTCGGAGCCCCCTCGAGCTGCCGGGTCCCAGGTGACGCTTCCCTCGTCGTCGAGCCAGTGGTGGCCGCCTTCGCTGAGCTTCTCCTTCAACGCGTGCTTCACCCCGTGGGGACAGCGGCGCGCCGGCGGCATACGCATGCCCGCCAGGCTGGCGCCAGCTGGCCCTCGACCCGCCACGATCAGGCTCCGAGCTCGGGCTGTCATGTCGCCGTAGTGGGTGCAGACGACCTCCAGGTCGTACACGCGGTACCCCAGCTTGCGCAACACTTTGACGACGCGGGTCAGGTCGAGCTTGCCAGGAGCGTCGACCACGACGACCTGCGGCCTCGCCCGGGTGATGGCCGACACCAACTTCTCGACTTCGAAGCCCTTCGGGTCCAGGGACAGCGTGCACATGATCCAGTCCGCTCCCGTTGGGTTGCCTGTCGTCAGCTCACCACCTAGCTGCTCCCAGGCGCGCCCGTAAGTCCCCAGTGGGCTCCCTAGCTCAAGGCCTCGGCGCCCCTCGAGGGCGAGGCTGCGTGGCACTGCTGCCGGGGTCCTCAGCGCCCGATGACGGAGCGCTGACTCCGCAATGGGCCCATCCTCCCCAGGCAACCGCAAGAGGTGCTCCTTTGCCTCGGCCAGCACCTTCCCCCACTCCTCGGGCGGCTCGATGCGGGTCCACCCTTTGCGCAGGAGCTCGGAGTGGACTTTCCTAGCCTCTTCCCGCGACAGCCAGTCCGCGATGTCGTTGTGGTAGGCGCGGATGTACAGGGCGGTCGTGCTGAACCCGTGGCAAGCCTCTAGGCGCTGAACGAGGCGAATGAAGTGCCGCGCGAGCGGGTGCTTGGGCCGCCTCTTGGAGATCCACGACCGCGCGTTCATGTTATCGGTGACGTAGAAGACCAATTCGCCTTGCCACTCGCCACCCCTCGCGGCAGCCAGGGCCACAAATGCAAGCAGCCCCACGATGGCTATCGCCCAGTCCTTCTCGGCCCCCGGGTGGCTCAGCACGTCCTCCAACTGGCGGAGGAGCGGGGCGGCGTCTACGGCCATATAGTGGGGCGGCGCTGCCTTGCTGCCGGCCACCGCGCGCCCCCAGTCGATGCTGCCGATGGTCGTCGTGGTCGCGTCGCCTCCAGTCCATCTTGTCCGGGCGGCGGCTCCTGGGAGTGCCAGGCGCTCGCGCGGCCCTAGACAGGAAATGGAGCTCGCTCCGAAGGTGGACGCCCGGGCCTCGGGTGCGTCGAAGAGCACCCGCAGCAGCTCGAGGGTCTGGTCCCACTCGTCCCAGGCAAGGGCGATCTCCTCGGCGCCCCCTCGGGGCTCCGCCCATGCCGCTCCGAGCCCACCTCCGAGGAGGCGGTCGATGACCGGCAGCTCGGGCTTGATAGCCGGCTGCGTGGCCACCCAGAACTGGGCGGACCCCCTCAGCTCCTGAACGACCTTGATGGGGACCCGACGGCACCCGTAGCGAAGCTCGTCGATCGCCAGGAGGTGGGCGGCTTTCACACACTTTAGGCTCTGGGAGCCTCGAGCGCTGCTTGTCCACGTCCAGGTAGAGGCCCAGACCAGCTGTTCCGCCTGGAAGGTGCCTTCCTCCGCCATCTTGTCGACGTTGATCGCGCCGTCGCCCCAGACACGCCTAGCCCCCGGACAGTGCCTCCGAGACCTTCAGCCTTGCCTTAACCTCTCCAGCTTCGAACGGGCCCCCCTTGAGCAGCACCCGCTGGTCGCCCTGCTGCGGGACGAAAACTCGCACTGGGCTTGCTCGCGACGCCTCGTCCTCGGCGGCCTCCCTCGCCTTCTTCTGGCGGCGGTTCTCCTCCTCCTCCTCCTCCTCGGGGCTCTCGTCCCCATCGCCATCGTCATCACCGCCTCCGCCAGATCCGCCTCCTCCGCGAGCAGCAGCTTCGCGTGCTTCACGCTTGCGTGCGTTGTTGCGTTTCCAGCCTCCTCGCTTGCCACCCCGCTTGCCGCCCCGCTTCTCGTCGCCACCACACACGATCATGGTCGGCTCGTCGTCGGTCTCCACTTATGATGGGGTTGTCCCCCTAGGAGCTTTATAATGTGAAAATCTAGAAATTGCTGTTTTTTTGCTTTTTACATCGCCCAAGATGCTTGGTGTTTTTTGGTATGGGGTTTTCAACATATTGCTCGCTTCCGCTCGCGCCGCCGTGGCCCATGGGCACTACACCCAGCGCCCCGCGCGAGCCGCGGGGCCCCACTATCTAGAAACGAGCACATCCTCGAAGACACGATATGCATTCGGGAACCCCGCAGCCACCATAACGACATGGACGCCACTCTCAACGTTGCCCGTGCCTGAGGTGGCGCGCGGGGCCCCCCGCGAGGCCGCGTGACCCCCCAGGGCGCTTGGAAGAGGAGGGGCCGCACGAAGGATGATGGGGGGGCTCTCTGTCGCTGCATCCGACAAGCATTTTCTCGAGGCCCCAACGGGCCCCACTTGGCATCCGAAGTTGGCGTCGGACGGCCCGACCCGAGACTGGCTTGGACGTTCGGAAAACATACCACACTTAAGGGCAACCAAGAGGCCTGACTGAGGCGCCCGAGAAAGCTCGGGCCCCTGATTGACCCCGTTGTATTAGCCTGTGGTGCTTTAGCGTTCTCAACCCATCGAGCTACCTGGGCCCCAAGAGGCCCAAACTGATTCCACTGGCCCGAGACAGTCTGCGAGGCCCCTTCGGGCTCCCAGCGCGGCCTCAGGCCACAGGCGGCGATGTGGCCCAGGCGGACACAAACGCCAGGCCACTGCGAGCCATGGGGGGCCCAAGACGGCCCAAGAGACCCCAAGGAGGCCCGCGAAGGCCCTGGGACGGCCTCGGGAGACAACCCAGACGGCCAAAACGGCGACGCGTCGGACAGAGGGGGGCCCTGGAGGCCCTGAGGAAGCCGCGCGGCCGACGAGTGCCCCGAAGGTTACCCAAACATGCGCATTGGGTCCTGACGCGGACCTCGATAGGCCAGCGTGAGCCCACCCCCCCAACCCCTAGAAGAGGGCGAGCATTGTCACATGCGACGGTCTTCTGGGCGGCGACCGAAGGGTCGCCACACAGAGCGCTTCGCTGGCACGGCGGAGGATTTGCCACGAGCATGTGGAATGAAATGGAAGCTGAGCCGCGGGGGAACGACGACGACGACGACGACGACGACGACGACGACGACGACGACGACGGCGACGACGACGACCACGACGGCCACGACGAGGACGACGACGACGACAACGACGACGAAGGCGACGACCACGACGACGACGAAGCCATCCCGTGGTCATCCCGCTGATCCTCCTACCCGTCCGTCCTGCTCCCCTCGCTCATCATGCCATGGACCCTCTCACTGGCCATCCTACCCATACCAGTGCTCATCCCGCCTACCCCTCACGCTAGCCCCGCCCCCTATCCCCCCTACTCTCCCTATCCGCCCCCTCCTCCTACTCATCGTCGTGCTCATTCGCCCGACCCCATCCGCCCCGCCGCCCGCCCACTGACCACGGGGAGGCAACGCCGACAACGACGAGGGGTGGAGTAGGAGAGGGGGGGGGTGTTTTCAGGAGGGGCCCCCCCCGCTCAGAGGGGGCTGTCTGCCCGCGGCCCTCGCCGCGAGCTGGTCCGCCAGGCGGCGGTGGGTCCTCATCCGAGGACTTGGTCGTACTTCTTGTGCAGCAGCGCGGGCAGCACGTCGATCGGCTTGAGCACCTTCAGCGCTCCCTTGAGCTTGACGTCGATCTTCCGGATGGAAGAGTAGAGCTGGTCGCCGTCGCCAGTCGTGTCCAACGCTTTGATCGCCGCGGCGATGTGGCCGATGCTGCGGCCCTTGTCGACCTCGACAGCGTAGTGCTTCTTCGTCGTGGCGTCGATCTCGGGGAGGCTGACCGCCTCGCACTTGGCAGCGTAGTGCTCGTACTCCTGAGGAGGCTAGGCTGAGGAGACAAGGGGGTGAGGCGAGGCTGAGGAGGAGAAGGGGGCGGGGCAGGAGGGAAGGGAGGAGGGAGGCAGACGAGGGTAAGGGCGATGGTGACAGAGTGGCAAACCAGGGAGGAGGATGGGGCGAGGGGGGAGGGCGACGGGGAGGGCGAGGGTGGGGGCCAGGGGTGAGGAACGAGGGGGGAGAAGGAAGTGGGTGAGGGGGGGGGTATGGGGACGGGGAGGGGCATTAGAGTGATGAGGGGGGGAGCTCTTTCCCACACCTCACCCGCCTCCGCCACCAGCTTCATCCTCCCAATCCTCATCCTTATCATCATCGTCGTCCCCATCCTCCCCCATCCTCTCACACCCCTCATCCTCATCCAACTCCTCATCACCCTCATCCTCCTCGTCCTCCTCCACCCTGACTCTGACCTTAACATCCTCCTCCGCCCCCCATTCCCATTCCATTTTATCCCCCGTCTCCGTCTCGACGTCGGCCGCCAGCTGCAGGATCGCATCGATGTCCATGCTGTCGCTCAGCAGCGTGGCGGTGCCGTGCTTCACGAGCTGCTTCCACGTCTTCCCCCTGAAATTGTCAGTCCACTTCTTGCCGCCCTCGGCGCCGCCGTTGCGCTCGACCAGCTTCTTGTAGGCCGCGTCGAGCGGCACCTTCGCCGCGACGCCGATCGCGGCGGCCACGTCCTTCATGAAGGCGGCGCGCTGGTCGAGCAGCTCAGTCGCCGTGTCCCAGCAAGCCCACTTCTGCTTCGCCGTCTCCGCGAGCGACGCCCTGATCTCCACGAGCGCCATGACCCTGCTCAGGCCGTCCTGGACCCACGGGGCGGCGGCAGTGTCCGCGGCAATTGCATCCGCCACCTCCCCCATGCCAATGAGGGCGGTGTGCGCCACATGTAGCTGGCGCGTCTCGGCCAGGTACTGCACTGCCTTCTTCGCCGTCTTGGCGTTCGCAGGCGCCAGAGCGGAAGCGACCTGCATCAGCGCGGCTTCGTCATTCTCGAACTTGGTGCCATTCGTCGACCTGTCCTCGAACACCAACGAAGACCAGCGCCAGAACACAACGTTGAGCTCGGCCTCCGCGTCGGCGTTTGAAGCAACTTTGCCAACACCTTTAATAGACTCCAGCAGCTTGCTGCGAATCGGAGCTGGCACCTCCCCGTCGCAACTAATACGTTCCATGGTGTCCCTCATGGCATACTTCAGCGAGGTGACCTTCGCCACCTCCGTCTGGGTGGATACCTTCTTGCGCAGCGTGGTCTCCATGCCGTGGATGTCATCGTCCATGGGGAACAGTTTCTTGGCCAACTGCGCGACGGTAAGCACTGCGTTGAGCCGCTCCTGAGATGTATCAGCAGTGGCTTTGCCCTTGCCATTGCCAGTAACGTGATTGTATGCACCGCTGAGCACCTGCCTGGCCATGTTGTCCACGCAGTCCAGCGAGTTGGGCCTGAACGTACTCGAGTGCCAGACGAGCAAATCCTTGAATACCTGCTCGAGGTGCGCCATCGTGCCCATGAAGTTCTCCGCGTCGAACGCCTCCTTGCTAAGAGGCTCGTCCTCGTCAGTCATGCTCTCCAGCCAGTCCGACTGCGCCTTGACAGACGCGCCGTGCTTCTCCCATGCGTGCATGGCCGTTTGAATCTGCCCGATTGCTTGCGCGTGGTAGTTCGTCCCCTGGAGCGCACTCCAGATCATCGCGCCGATGCTCTCAGGCGACCCCGAAGCCGTCGACACGGCATGGTTGATGCAAGACATCTTCTCGGGCAGCGTCGCCAAGTCGTCTGACGAGGAGCTCAGCGCCAATATCACCTTCATGATGTGGCGGACCGCCAGGGACTCGGCCTCGAGGTCCTCGGGGCAAGACGCGTCGCGGAGCTCAGCGTTGATCTTGGTGAAGATTGCCTGGGCCAGCCGAACCACCGCGTGGGCCGACTCCTTGTCGTTGGAGATCCACTGGCACAGGACCTCTTGCACGACGAAATCAGCGAAAAGACTATACTTCTGAGCGGCCGTGGACGACCCGTTGTTGAGCGAGGGTGCCAGGGGGTCGAAGTCCGTGGCGAGGGCATCGCCACCAATGTTGAAGCACGTCGCTTTGTCGATGAACTTCACAATCGCCTCATCTGATATGTTATCGAAGGATGCCTCGAAGACCTTGACATCCTTGCGCAAGCCGCGTAGGACCATGTAGGAGATCTGCTCCCAAGGGTACTTCACGTCAGCTTTCTTGAGCTTCGCGTGCAATGCCAACTCCTCCGAGTCGTCGAGCTGGTCCGCCGCCGTGTGCCGCACCTTGTAGGCGACATCCACCAACTCCATGTGCGTCTTCAGGACACTCCTTACACCCGCGCACTCGCGGACACCGCTGAGCCTACCCAACAACGCGTTCCCCTCGATCTGAGCTTTGCCCATCTTCTTGCCCGAGAGTATGGCGGGGATGTCGTTCTGCTGGATCCAGTAGTAGCACTTGTCCTTGTTGTCCACTGGGCACTCCGAGTACAGCTTCGCGGTAGCCGCGGCCGAGGCGCTGTCGTCTGCGGTGCGGTGCCCCTGGCCCTGACCGCCCGACACCGCTGTCTTGCAGTCCTGGGGGGTGCGGCTGTCACGCGGCGACTGAGCAGTTGGTCCCGCCGACGACGCCACGCCCATGAACCTGAACTTCCCGACCACGCGGCTGATGGCCCCGAAGACCTTGGCCGACACTGGGTTGCCGCCTGATGCATCGACGACCGATGCCGGTCCCCGAGACTCACCTTTCTTATGCCTCTTCGCGGCGCCAACAACGGTGCCCGCTACTTGGCTGATGCTGTCGGGGAGGAAGCCGGATCCGTCATCGTCGCCGTCTGGATTGGAGACTCTCTGGGTGACCTTCCTGGTGAACTCGGACTCGTCGTACGCGTCGAGGGACCGCCTCTTCCTCAGCCCGTCCTGCTTGCCCTTCAACTGCGTCGCCTTGATGCCCGACCCCAAGAGGTTGCCCTGATCCATGCCCTGGCACCGCTCTTGGTTCCACGCCTGGAAGGACAGGAACCCCTGGGACGGCAACTGCGTGCCGTTCGCGACGAGGTGGTCGATCCGAAGGTTGGTGCTGGTGCCCAGGGCCACCCGCACGCGTCTGTAGCCAGCGGTGGCAACTGGATCCATGTCGTCGATCACCGCGTAGCAATCCTCGGGGCTGCCATTAACCGTCGAGCCCTTGAACGGAGCCACGTTGAAGGAGTTGACGCGGCGCTTGCTCAAGAACGCCAGCTCGGCCGCATTCAAGCACAATGCGTCAACGTAGATGGTCGTCGTTGCGTCCATCTCCGTGCTGACCGACTGGTTGGGTGCCGTCTGAGAGCTCGGGAGGTCCCGAGTCGCCATCCACTCGGCTTTCAGCGCGCTGCTCTCCGAGAAGGCCTTCGCAGCCGCATCGGCGCTGCGGAAGATCTGCATGCGCTCCACTGCGGTGACACATGGGCTGCACAACGGGCCTTCATCGCCGCCCGCGGCCTTGCCAAAGGTCACCTCCTGGCAAGGGCGCCGCAACAAACAACACTTCTCAACGGTACATCGCGATCTATGACGTTATCCATTGCCTTCCCCCCGACGCGCACAGGGGCATCCTGCGCAGCGGGCAACCACTAATACTCACTTCCAGAACCCTGAACCCTCGATCACGTCACCGCGCCATGGTCACTTCCCAAAGGCCTGAACAAGTTCGGGTCACAAACCCGCCACCCTCCTTCAGGAGGGCGGGGTTCGCGGGGCTGGCTCGAAAACCGAGTGGTGGCCCGCCGACGCAGCCGAAGAGGGCAAGGGCCGAAGAGGGCTGGCTGGCGGGACTGGGCGGGCAGGTGCGACGGCAAAGGGCAGGCTGGGGTTCGGGGCATGGGAGGTGGAACTGAAACCGAGGGAGGGTCACGCGACACAAGGAATTGTAAACGGGTGTCCGTGTTGACGCTGTCGCAGCCGACGCACACGCGGGCCGCGCCCTTGGCGACGGGGCTCCCGAAGATCCCACCAGCGCCACCTCCACCATCGGCAGCTCTAGCGTCGTGGGCAGCGAGAGCACCCGCCGTGAGTGGCATCACAAGCCACCAAAACATGGAAGAACGCTGATTGGCTGGGGTTATGAAGGATGAATCACCATGGCTCAGCCTCGCTCCAAAACGGCAAACGGGTCGCCCGCGTACAGCGGTGGGGAGGGGCCGACCTCAGGTCAGCCCCCACTCCAAAACTCCCATTACAAACCAGCGTCGACGAGCGGGGCCCCCAAACAATGGGTATTTGCACAGTTGGTGTGTAAGCTACGCGGTGCGAGTATGTGGCGAGAACTGCGTAGTGCAATATGCGCAGTGCAAGTGGTGTTAGCGATGTGGTTGTGCGGGTTAGGTGCTACGATTCGTGGTGTAAGCTATGATGTCACATCTACGTGGTGCGAGCTGTGATATGCGGCACAACCTACGAGGCGCAACGGAGCGCTCACGAGCTGGCGCGAGAAGCAACGCGATGCCACCTCGACACAAACCCCAAGCGCACGGGGTGCCCTCGGGGCGCCCTTTCGGCGATGCGGGAGGCAACGCGGAGTTACCTCGGCACGCGCACACACACACGCACGCCAAGCGCGAAGGGCGCCAACGGGGCAACACGGGCGGCCCCGCGACGCGTGCTCGAAACACGATTCGCACCCCAAGCTCACGGCCCCCCCACACGGGGCGCCCACGGGGCGCCACGGGCGGCAACGTGGCGAAACCACGACACGCCCATCCAATCCCCAAGATAACGTTTCTAAGACCACATACGTGCAAGCACCGCTTGGGGAATGACGAACCGACTGCGCCGTCCCAGAACATGTATCGGCATGGCCCTCGAAGGCCCGCAAACACGGAAACTCTGACATGTCGTGTTTGGGGAACGGTGGAAACGCCAAAGTCGGGGTGTTGAGGTCTGGGGAATTTTGACCCCCCCACCCCCCCACACGGCCGACGCTGTGCACATGG